TGGGTTTTAAACTCTTTTTTTTTTTTTTTTTTTTTTTTCAGACGGGAGACGTCAAGTCGTCAGCTTCGTCCTGCACCCGAGCATGGTGTTGAGCATCGTTATTTGTATCTCGAGGCTTGCAGACGTCGCCCCACACAGCTGAACACGAGGCTCATGGCTGGCGCCCTCCAAGCCAGTAGTCCTGCGCAGCGTCAACTTGAAATCTAGCCTTTTGTATTTGGACTTGTGCGTCGCGTTGAATGTCTGAGGCTTGTGTCCAGTATTGCGTTGGATGTGGTGGGTGGACAAGGAATGCGACGCCGTTTGTGGATCAAAAGAAGCTAATTCCGGCGATCGGATGGTGCCGAGGATCGACCACTGTTTTGTCCTTTCTTTTCTTTTTTGTTTTGGCTCCAGACTGATGATGAGTCGCAGGTGAGTAGGCCGGGGTGTCACTGGCGGTGCTGTCATAGTCTGAGTTTGGGAGCTCGTTGACAAGTTGATGCGGCTGATGTCGTTGACTGTGGCTTCAACGAGGGTGCAGGTAACACGACGGATAGTAGCTCCACCGGAGGCCAGTTAGGGTTAGGGTTACTACTTTAGCAGGCTCTTTTAGGCTTGGGGAGAACCGCGCCCACGTGGCGAGTCACCTGGAGCCTCGACTGGTTTCTGGGGCTAGCAACACCCACATCTTCAACAACACATCAACGCATCGGCGCCTCATTGCCATCTTTCGCCATCATGCAGCCACCCCCTTTGAGCAGCCAGAGGTCACTGCAGTCGCTTGCAGCTTTGACTCCAGGGTAGCCAAGTTTAATGCGTTATGCTGGCCGCCAACCCCCTCGAATGAAACGTAGTATTGCCGCTCGTGAAATGAGTCTTACCGGCAAAACATCATCATGGCATCGCCCTCAGACCTGCCCTTCAAACATGACCGCCTTCCCACCCCATCTAGCATACGCCTCCTTGAAAGACTGGACCCTCCCCTGACGGAACCCTGCGCTTCTCTTTCGTTATAAAGGACCTCGACGACACCACGAGCCTACCTCACATCTGCCTCTCATATACCTGGGGAAACCCATTCGCCCACGGCACCGAATTTAAGGAACACTTTGACCGCGTGGCCCTCCAATACCAGGAGGCAAACAGGGTGCGCGTCCTTGTCGACGAGCATCCGATGCTCATCCAGAAGAACCTCCACGATGCCATGGCCATGATTCCCAAAGACGCCTACGCCGAGTATGCCAATGGCGTAGTCGATGGCACCCCGGGACAGACTTATTTACACATGGCGTCCTACGGAGGCCGTCCCAACAATGTCGAGAATTGGTTCCATTGGGGCGCCGGCATTAACAAGCTCGATGACACGGGGCACAACGCCTTGCATTACGCCGCCGACCAGGACCAGCTGGAGTGTGTCGAGGTGCTGCTCAGGTATGGGTGCAGGAGCAACGTCAAGGATCACCAAGGCAAGCTTCCCGCGGATTTGGCGAGAGGAAAGGCCATGACGCCGTCGCTGCCTTTATTGAAGCCGCACAGGCAGGGAAGGCGGAGGGAGAGCGAGGAATGGCCTGCCTCGCCGTGGCTTCGGGACGTGTGCCGAGGCCTTTGATCTGGGCCGAGGCCATTTGCATCAATCAGGAAGATGTCGTTGAGAAGAGCACCCGGGTGGCCATGATGGACCGGATATACTCGAATGCCATGTATACCCTTGCCTGGCTGGGACCATCGGACGACCACTCCGGTAGGGGAATTCAAGTTTTAAAGACTCTGTCGACGCATCTCGCCGCGTTTAAAGAGGCCGTCATTGAGCCCTTTTCGGGCAAGGACAAGGGCCGACATGCCGTACATCTCCGAACGGGACTGGGCAAGCCTGGCCTCTCTCTACCAACGACAATGGTTCCGACGCGCCTGGATCGTCCAAGAAGCCGTTCTCCCTGGCGCCCTCCTCATGTACCTCGGTGACCAGTCTCTTGCCTGGCGGGACTTGGGCCAAGTCTCGGAAGCCATTCAATACAACGAAGCGAGGCTGGGCTCGTCGCTTCATCTCGATTCATCCCTGCAGAGGACCCAGCTGTGTCCGTTGTGTGGGACATGGCAGAGGTGTCAAAATGGCGACGCTTCAATATTTCAGCCGGCCAAGGGGGTGGCGGCGGCGACGACGACGACGACGCCAAGGAGTCGCAATCGTGGTTCACGCTGAAGCATCTGGTGTACAACTTTTGGACCTTTGTAGCGTTTGACCCCCGGGATATGGTGTTCGCCTACTACGGCCTGCTGAATCAGTATGCTGCGGAGCGGCACCGGGCGGACTACGGCATGGGTCTCGTGGCGATTTACACCGCGGCGACGAGGGACCTCATCCGGAGCGAGGCGTCGCTGGCCGCCCTGTCATGCTGCGTCTACCCGCTCCAGCGGAGGAAAGACCTGCGTCCTGGGTGCCGGACTATAGCGTCGCGGCGGCGAACCCTGTCCCTCGCAACTTTGCGCGGACAAGGGGCTGCAGTACGTCCCACCCAAGACGACGCCCGACGACCAGGCGAGCAGCCTGCTCCGTGAAAGGGGTCATTTTATCGGCCGCGTCTCGGCCGTCGGCGGGCGATCCGGCACGAGGCCCAACGAGAAGCTCGCGTTTGACCTGTCGTGGCTGAAGCTGCCGCTGTCGCTGCGAGGCAAAGGCGGCTACCTGCCCGGCGCGAGCCTGTCGTGTATCCTGTGGACGACGCTGTGTATGGACACGTCGCCCGGCGGCATGTTCGACCCCAGCGTGCTCGGGGACAAGGCGCACAGCGCGCAGGGGGTAGACTTTCGCATCTTTGTGCTCCTGGGGATTCTGGCCGCGGGCGATGCCCTGATCCGCGAGAGGCTGGGGCTCGAGGACGCGGCGACCAGGCACGGCGACCTTGTGTTCAGCCACCTCGACTATGACCCCATGAAGGAGGACCTGGAGCCCGTGCTGGCGGACCTGGACGCCTTTGCCGAGCACGACGGCGACCAGTGCTGGCTGCCCACCCGGGCAGAGGTCCTGAGGTGCTAGGGCTCGTTTACCTAGGGCGACTGCGGAACCTCGAGGTGGAGAGTGACTCTGGCGCGGCCGGGTTTATCGCCACGTACGAGAACGTGTACGGGGACCGTGTACGGGGGCAGGCACTTGGTTACCGTGAATGAGCGGTACCTGGGGCTGGCGTCGCTGGCGACGAGGTGTGGGTGCTGCCTGGGTTGAATGCGCCTGCGGTTCCGAGGCCGAGGATTGACGCTGATGACGGTGGTTGTGTCGGGAGGTATTCAGTGGCTTGATGCACGGGGAGGTGGTGCCCCTGTTGAAGAGTGACGTGGAAGTTGTTGAGCTTGTTTGAGGGACAGAATAGATACGTGTCCGTCTATCTATCTGTGGGTATATATGCATGTATATTTACCTGTGTGTCTTTGCATAGATGTACATCAACTTTGTACACAGCCCCATTTATACACTTATCTAGCGTACTTGGAGTACCTTCCCTAGCTTCTCTAGCTGTAGTCTTATTGCTAGAATCCAAGCCACATAATGCTCGCGTCTAAGAGTAAGCCTGGTTTGTATATATTCGGCGTTCTTTTAATCTATATTTACATGTATATGAATGTGTGTGCGTGCATGTAATGTATCAGAGTAGATGACGCACCAACCTCCCGTATCAAAAGCCCAGATTAAACAGCCACCTACTGCACTTGCAGCGTCTCCAGCGGCCCATTCTGGTTCCCGAAAACCAAGGCGTACAGGGTCCTCGCGTCCATCATCAACTCCAGCTTACACGACACGTGGGTGGTGCCGTCGTCAAAGCCCCCGTCTGCCAGGACGTCCCTGGCGGTGCGGCAAATGTGCATCCTCACGTCTTGGCAGTGGGGGCTTGAATGACGTTTGGCCGGTTGGCAACAAAAGGGGCCGCCAGGCAGGGATAGAGAGGGAGACAGAGTCGATCGAGAGTGTCTCATCCCCAACGGCGAGTTGGGTTGTATGCAGTCGCGAGGTGCTAAGCCGTTATTTTACGAGACACCCGCGGATATTGGAACACGACGCAATAGAGGATTTCGGAACGACGGATGATGGCCCACGGCGTGGCGGTACCTACGGTAGGTAGGTGCGTGGGTGAGTACCTGGGTACCCAAGCAAAGCAAGGTAATTGAGGATCGAGAGGGCCTGGTGAGAGGTCTTGGCAGTGGGGGCTTGAATGACGTTTGGCCGGTTGGCAACAAAAGGGGCCGCCAGGGGAAAAAGAGGTTGACGACGGGACAATCTCGGCCCAGAGGTGACGTCGGGAAGCGGAACCAGGGGTCCGTCCCGCCAGGAACCAAGATGGCTCCACACGATTGACCACCAGTCAACGACGGAACACGTCTTCTCCAGCCGAAAAGACATACAACAAAGCAACATCTCGTCACCCATGATTCCTCGCCCTTCTTTACTCTGTCCACCGTGAGATGTGACTGTCAGGGCGCTATTGCCCTCATCAGATGGGATCGACGATGAGCTGGAGCGCGCGTGACGCCTACAGAAAGCAACAGTCGAAGCGATTTGTGACGACCTTCAGCCCCCTACAACGTCATGCTTGGATTTTGTGGCCTAGCTGAAGCCGGCTGCTGTAGTGCGCTGTTACTCAAGACAACAGTGTCTCGCGGACACATAATGCCATGGCGAATCCCTCGTGCGCCGACAACACAGCCAACCAAACACAACCGCGACCTATGCGCACGGCCGAGATGCCGCGACTGGTCTCATGCACCGTCATGAAGATGGGGAGTGCGAAAAGTGCAGCGTCTTATACTTTACAACTAATGCATATGCCACACAGCCGAGCAACGATTGAACAGAAGATGCCTGCGGACCGCGACAACGAGAGACTCTTGGGTTCCCTACATGAAAGAGTTGAATGGTACTAAGATTGATACTACGGAACACACCCAGCTGGTAGAAAACATCATACTGTGCTTGGTTTGAATGAGCGACTTGATCTCAACAGCACCAGCCAAAACGCGTCACCTGTCATGATAGCGCCGGTTACTAGACAACGGTATAGATGGAAACGGGTTGCTGTGTCTGTACTACGAGCGTACTCGAGTCCTCAAGCAAACGTGGCAATTTTTTGGCCCATCTTGAAATGCTGGCCCAATGGAGCGTCGAGAAACTTGACCTTTTTCTGAAAGACGACGACAATGTCGGATCCGCCAAACTGAAAGTACGATATCTCATCGCCCTTGGCCAGGGTAGAGCCCACTTGAGCTGTCATGACGACCGACGAGACCTGCGCCATGCCAATCGGCAATATAGCAACAAGGCCAATGTCTCCGCCGTCAATCACAATAAGACCGCGTGTCTGGCACCACTGGTATCCAGCGCGGTCCGGGGGGATAATGCCCCGTCCCTTTCCCCGTCGAGGCAAGGGCAACGGCCTAATCGGCACCAGGCCCCTTTTCCTTTCAGGCGAAGCGTCAACCTCGAGGTAAACCTGGCCTTGGATGTTCTTGACATCGAGCACCCTTCCACCCACACACGCATGTTCCCGATGATAGTCATGAGTCGAGAGGAACGAGTGCATAAATACGCCGTTCCGAAACTCGTCTTTGTAGTCGCTGTCCTGCAACAGGTCGCTAATCTTCCAGGAAATACCCTTGAGCTTGACCTCATCCGTGCCGCCGGGGAGATTGACCACCCCATCCTTGATATCAGCCCAGCCGTCAAATGTAGAGTCTGCCGGCATGACGACAACTTTGGGATTGTCGGGCTCGCTGATGGGCCGCGAGCCAGGCTTCAGATGCCGAGCGAAGAACTGATTAAACGACTTCCAGCCGCCGCGTGGCTCGAGCCACTGATCTGCTTCGGCATTGTAGTTGGGGTTGTTGTAGAATGTATCCAGGGTCTGTGTCGTTAGGGATTCCGGACGGTCCAGGAAGCTTCCCAGCTGCTGGGCGTAGTTGACGAGCCAGTACGACATGAAGGTCAGGGGGCCCTCGGTGTTGTTGGGATCCAGCTTGCTTTGATAACCGCGAACGCTGGGCTGGTCAAAGACCCAGTAGAAGACGCAAATCTTGCGAAGGACTTCGTCCCCGGTGCCGTCCACCCTCGGCACCCAATGCAGGAAGTCATTGACGTAACGGAAAAAATCTGCCAGATTATGGATCTTCTGATGGTTCATGTCGTCCTCGGCATCCCTGCGAGCAGTTGTGATGGCAGTCTCAAAGTTCTCCCTCCACCCTTTTCTTCCATCGACAACGTTGATGAAGTCTTGGACAAGAGGGTCAACCTGATGAAGAGCCATTGCTTCTAGTAATAAATGATGAATTGGGTTTAAAAGGGGCGATTTCGGGTAGATGGAGCTGAGAGGTTATGGGCCCTCACGATGAGTTGAGAGGTTTCTGCGCTGGTCGTGGTGGTGACCCTAAACAAGACATCTCTGAGCAACTTATATGGACGAGACCAGCTCATGCATACACATTTCTACTACACGTACGCCAATTTCGGTCACGTACTCCGTACTACGACGTATAACACGTCAGCAATGAATGATGTCTGGCTGCCCTTTCCTATGTGTGCTCTGCTGCGGAGGTGCTTGAATGCAATGCAATGCCGGGGATGACTGGCTCGCTGACATGGAGGGCCTTGGAGACAACGACACTCGTAGCCGAACGCCACACCCGACGGAGCGAAGAGTTGCGCCTGTTTGAAAGCACATCCGTGTCTTGTGACCGACTGTATGACAGGCCCGTCTCCACGGCGAGATGCACGGCACCCAATCTGGTTTGTCGAGTCACGTATGGCTTCTTCGAGGCAGCCGTAGCCATCCACCTCGATCAATATAATCTCCACTTCAAATCTGTGAGGTGTGAGATGGTTTCGAAGGAAGCTCCTGTTGCCCGACGTGTATGCCTCTCTCGAGAAACGTTGAACACACGGAGGCGTACGACTGCATGTCACAATTGTCCTTGTCTCTTGACAAACACGCCAAATTGATATTAGACCTTGAATCCGCGCTACGAGTACACTCTACGCTCTGTAGTAAATTATTTTATCGGTTTATAGGCCCTAGGTACCTGTACACTCCACGGCATTCCATCTTTACTGCCGCCTCCCCTGGCCATTGGGTCGTCCTGTGTGGCGGGAACATTTGTGTTGTACGAATTTGAAAAGAGACTGCGCGGAGCTGCTTGATGAACTGGGGATATTGTGCGCAAGGTGGAGGCATCTGACAAGCCCAGCTCGACTCTGATATCGGACATGGACCAGGTAAATGCAGGTGACGGCTCGAGTCAGGTATTTGCAGACGCATCACTAGGTGACGGTACGCAAATGCGGGCACAATACGTCGCACAGCGCCAGTCAACTGCGATGTGAATAACTGAGACAGGCATTAGACGCCTCAGGATAGTAATATTCTGAGACATTAGGTCCAGCTCGTGTACAAACATTTGCTCTGCATCACTGGTGGTGAGCCGAAAGGTGACAATATCCACGAGGCAGCGTTGAGGGGCATGAGCAAGCAGTAGAATCAGTTACGCATCATCTATACCCGGGGTGTACTGTAAACAGGCGTCTCTACTGTTCAAACCCTTTCTTTTCTAAAGGCATTTGTTTCCTGGCACTACCTGTCACATGGTTACACGAGGGCTGCGATCACGGGATTAGGGCACAAGGCACTCGCCGATTTCTTGTATAAATGGAGCTCTTTGGTCATGTACGTCTTGAGGAAAATTAAGGACCTTTAGTACTAAAGCTGTTATTAGATGAATTGGGCTACTGACTCTGGTAATCCCTAGCCCTTGTCACACTACCTTGTCTGGTATTCTCTATAGCTCCCACCACCACTTGATGGAAAAAGTGTACCGTCTCCCATTAGTTATTACTGCTACTCGGCTAATTTTGCAGTATTTCTACTGCATCGTAATTACAATCTTGCGACTCATTATGGACGTGTTGTAGTCGTGACTTACTGACTCTGGGGTCACTCTAAACCGTATGTTCACTGGCGAGACTAGGCTATTACCTCGATCTTCAATAAAAGCAACGCTTGCGAATGATGAGGCCCTATATGACTTGGACCTTTAGCAAATCCTACTGAGAGTCTCGGCACGGTTTCAATGGAAAATACGGATAGCGTGGTGCTTATAACACCTGGAGCTAGCCTCGAGTGAAAGCCAAATTTTTTAGTTACTTTAATAGCTAGAAGGTCTTCTTAAGATCCTATTTTATTATGTTCCAACATTTACAGGGTACATGAGTTGACCTGGCGTCACAAATGCTAATGGAATCAGGATTAGTATTTTTGAGGATCGAGTCCGTCATTTATATAGTCAAGATCTAGTGCGATTTTCCACCCAAGAAACGCGGCAGTGTCCTAAAGCAAACCTATTCACAAGTTTGCACTCCTTAATATTAGATATAAGGAGTCACTTGTTATCTAATTCGCGGTGAAATATCTCCCTGGTAGCCTTCTTTCCTGCATTTTCTTTTTCAGTAAATTTCGCATAAAACCGTCAGTTATGAGGCGCAATGTTGACTGAACCTTTCCACGAAAGGAGGATACTTTATTATAGCTTAAGGTGTAGAAAGCTCTGACTTGTGATATTGTTGTCTCGTAGTAGCACTGCAATAACTAACAGGTCAAGTCTAGTTCTCGATATGCCAGAGCCGGAGCATTTTAGAATATAGTACGGAGTAAATGCAAATGTATTTTATATTGTATCGTATTTTATTAAAATATAAATATAACATTACCAACTGCTCCGTAGTTGCAAATCCATGCACGCGACAAAATCGCTGCTCCTCTCTCCACATAATTACGCAGTCGTACTGCCCTCAGATTGCTCCTTATGACTTGGCAACACAGCCCCCTCACCATCCAGGGTAGGCACCCGATGTCCTTCCATAATTATGTCGAATTGCTAAGCACCGGCCGTCAGCAACAAAACATCCGTCATCAATCACGCACCGTTAAGCAGAGTAACACTTACCGGGCCATTGAATGTCTTTCCAAAAACCACCCAGTACAATGCAATCAGAAAAAACGTGACGCCCAAAACAACCGATACATAATCTAAAAACGCCAACAGTCAACATACCCGACTTTCAAGCTTCAGGGGGGAATAACGGGAAACTCACTCATGGTACTCGACGTGACGAGACTCGTCGGGAAGCAAAAGAACTAAGCCCCTCGCGTTAGTTTGAAAAGACGGCTATACACCAATCAAAGGACGGACACAAAAACTCACCACTGAAGTGACGCCAAGGTACACAACAGCTACGATGTTCACAAAGTAGCCCGGCAGCATGCCCATCTGGAAGGGCGTCCCGGCGGTCCTGTGCGCGGCCAACACCCGCCTTCCTCTGACGAGAAGCACCGCGATGGGAGCGGCATACGACATGTCCAGCAGGATGGTGCACGACGCGACGTACGCGCTAAAGGCAACCGTTGGGCCCAGGTACAACAGTCCGAAGCAAACGTTGAACACGTAGCAGAAGAGTATTGTGCGCATGGGCACATTGAGCCTGGGATCGATGTGTGAAAGGAACCCGTGGAAGACGATGCCGCGGTCTCTGGCCATGGCGTACAGCAGGCGGCTGGCGCTGGTGATGCTGGCGTTTGAGCCGTTGACAAAACACACGGCGAGCATGAGGCTGAAGATTGTGGTGGCGGCGCGGTTCTTGGTCGCGCGGAGGATGATTTCTACAATGGGCATGCCGGTTGTCGTTGCGAGTATGGCTTCCGGATCGTTGAAGCAGAAGAGGATGGCGAGGATGAACAAGGTGCCTCTGAAAGGGGGTCGGGGGTTAGCTGTGTTTTTGTAGAGGGAGGAAAAAAGGATAAGGGGTGCGTTTTCAACGTACGTCACGCCCCCGACTAAGACGGCGTAGATGAGGGCCCGGGGAGAGTCGCGAGATGGATTCGGCATCTCTTCAGTCATGTGGAGGACTACGTCGAAGCCGATGAGGGACAAGGCGGACTGGAGGAGGCCGAGGACCCAGGAGACGCCGTCTGGCCACCCGGTCGTGTTTTGGAAGTTGGTAAAGACGAAGTTGGCGTCTGTCTTTTCAGACATGGAGAGCAGCACGATGCTGACGACGACGACGCCGAGCATAGACCAGTAGACTATACACGGTTCAGTCGAGGCGGTAGTCTGGGGGAGGCAGGGGACGCAGCTTACGCGCTCCGTCGTTCCATTTACCGAGAATCTTGTTCCCCCAGATGTTGACCACGGTGGCGCAAGTAAGAATGGCCAGGAAGACGCCGTATGTTCGCGCAGCGGTGATTTCGTACGTCCCGCCGGAAGCAACCACTGCCGCGGCCGAGATGAACTGCGCTACACGGCCGTCAGCAAAAACCCCGTCCACGGTCCCCTTGATATACAGGCGTCAGGAGGGCACATCAACTCACCACCAAAGAAGCCCTGCACCGCGATGACGACCAACCACCCAGCAATATTGATCCACCCCACTATGAAACTCTGCTGCAATTTAGCAAAAAAAAGCAGATCTCCCCATTGTGCCCGGGTTGTCAGGGAGCAAACTCACAATAGGCAGCCTTGTCTTCTCCGAGCACAGCGCAAAGACAAAGTGATACTGCCCGCCGGCAGTCGGCCATATAGCAGCCAGCTCGCCCAGGCTCGCCACGACGCAGAGACAGCACAAGACGCAAAAGATGAAGCCGTACAAGAACGCGACGGATCCTCCAGACGGCATAATCAGCCCTATAGACCCCGCCAATGCAATCCAAGTACTACACACGCAAAACCGTCAGCACCGCTGCGGCATACAAGAGGGGAATCAGGGCAACCTACTTCAAGATGGCAAAGGCCATGGCCAGAGTCGACAAGGTCGACAAACGCTGCTGCAGAGTCCCATGGCTCGCCGCCGGGATCATGTCGGAACCGCCCATTTTGCCCGTATCGCTAGGTGTGTTGCCGCAGAAAGAAGAGGAACAGCGTGGCCTCGGCACGGGCAAGCGTTTGCCTTGATCGTGGCCACGGACCTCAAGTTATATCATCAACAGACAAACGTGGCTGGCCCAACACTTGAAGTCCCGATACTTGGCCCCGACGAGGCCGTAGCACACTCGACTGCCGTGTGGAGCCGGGGCCAACCACATTGCGGACAGGCCGCCCGTTGAAGGCCTCTCGGAAGCAATCCATACTCGCGGAGCCGACGGCGGTGTGGAGTGCCGGTTCCCCGGACTATTCGCCATGTTGGGATTTCCCAATTCGGAAATTCTCTGAGAATTCGCGTCACTGGTGCCGGGCGGATGCGGGGTCGATACGATATCTCAAACATGTCATTTTCCAACCCAAGAGAGTCTGGCTCGTGCTGAAATCTGGGGTAAATAGGGGCCATCAGAAACGCCGTCTTGGGGCAGTTATCGCCTCTCCTGTTTTGTTTGACGACTCACGACGTGGGCACGAGAAGTGGCAATCTGTTGCGCGGAAGAAGGGGACTACGAAAACCTGATCCAGTCCCAGGCTAGTTAGTAGCTTAACCACGTTGAAGCCACTTGAAGATGGAAAGCTGCGTGGCCGCGTTTTTTGCCAGAATAGGCAATTTCTCGAGAACTTGGCACACACCCAATTCCGAGGCGACGGGAATCAAGGGAAAGATCCGAATTACCGTGCGGGTGTGGCATCGCATCTCGAGGAATTACCTTTTGGGGAGAAGGCAGTGGTGTCACGTTGGATGACGATGACAGCTCGCCTTGAGCTTTTTAATGCCGACGGGCGACAGCTTTTCCTTTTCCCTGTTTGAAAAACCTTAGCTTCCGATGACGTGTTTTTGCTCTTTTTAGAATTCTTACTCACCGTAAAGGAAATAAATACTTTGTATTCGTGTCTTTCCCTTCCTCCCTGCACCCACTTCAATCCCATCTTGTGCTATGGCCGAGGGCACTTTGATGACGACAATGGCCTCCGAGGACGGATACTCGTGGACCAAGGCGGACGGCCTGCGCGCCGGCATTCCTTGCATTGGAGCCATCCAACCGCCTTCCAATATCACGGACGCAGGAGAGTACGACGTCGTCGTCGTCGTCGGAGCAGGACACTCTGGTCTGGCAGCCGCCCGCGATACCAGCGTAGCAGGCATGTTTGACGTAAAGCTGCCGACTCCGTGGTCTGCTCTCGCACACTAAAGGCAAAAATTCTTGCCCAGGCCTCAAAATCCTTCTCCTCGAGGCCCGAGACCGCATCGGCGGCCGCTCGTGGTCCTCCAACATCGAGGGGTACCCGTACGAAATGGGCGGCACGTGGGTGTACTGGGGCCAGGCGACCGTCTGGCGAGGAATAGCCCGATACGGGATGCAGGACGAGCTGGAGATGTCGTACCAGACGACTTCAGCAGAGGCATCAACAGGTTCCTGCTGGCCGGCGCCCAGGGGACGATGAAGAAGTACTGTCCACCCCCGAAAAGCAAACCCAACCCTTGGCCTCCTACTCCCTCCTTCCTCGGACAGTTTAATGCCCATAACAAAAGGAATGAAGCTAATCAAAGGGGCAGGAGGCGCTGCGGTCCGGGACGCGCCCTCGGGCGTGGCCGTCACCACGTGCAGCGGCCGGACTCTTGGGGCAAAGAGGATGGTCAGTATCATGCCGCTCAACGTGCTCGCCGACGTCCAGTTCGACCCGCCGCTCCCCAGGGGCAGAGACGCCGCCGCCAGGACGGGCCACGTCAACCAGACGGTCAAGGTGCACGCCGAGGTTGCCGACCGCCATCTGAGGTCCTTCACCGGCATCAGCTATCCGCATAACGCGCCCATTTATGGATTCGGCGACGGCGAGACGCCCAGGGGGGTTACTCATGTCTTTGCGTTTGGGGGGCAGCATAACCACTTCCACCCGGAGGATAACATTGAGCGTACTATCGAGGCTTTCCGGGGGTTTACGCCCATGAATGTGGAGGGAGTTGTAGGTTGTTTCTGGTGGATCTGGAACAAGGGAAACGATTTGCTGACTCTGTGTTGGCAGATCTTTCACAATTGGTCTCGGGACGAATTTGCAAAGGGGGCTTGGTGAGTGCCTATATTCAAGTTGGGGCTGACGGTAGAAAGTGGCTCATGTTTTTCTCTTGTTCAGGTTCTTTTCGGCCCCGAGCCTGTTGGCAGACCACCTGAAAGACACGAGGGAACGGCAGGGAAATATCTTCTTTTCCTGCTCTGATTGGGCATTGGGGTGGCGCAGCTTCATTGATGGTGCGATTGAGGAGGGGGGAAGGGCTACTACGGCTGCCACGGCTGACCTACTTGGACGAGCCAAGATTTGATTGTATTTCAGTCATGTCGGGCAACACATTAGCAACAGGAACAATGTCGTTCACTGATCTGATAGCTAGAAAAGCTAGTATACACTGGTCGTAACGTGACCCCCCATCAACAAGCGCCGTACATGTTTTCACATGATCAATATTGGCCGCTCATGCGTCACAATATCTATCCAATTTGTCGAATCTTGCTTCGACCAGATGTAGTCCAGTGTTTGCAGGGCAAGCGGAATGCTACCGAATCTCGTACACTCAAACAGGCCCCTTAAGCGATTGTAAAAGAAGTCGCGGTGTTCCGGCAGAATACTCTCAGCAGACGCCACAAAAAATGCCCAAACAAGGGCGTGGCGGCCTTCCACGTTGGGGTCCAAGTGAGTGACAGTCTGGCGAAGCCTTTCGACTGCCTCGATGGATGATTCGCGGGTTGCTTCGTGTGACGCACGGTTGCGATAGATGTAGCAGGCTTGGCGGATAATGTCCTTCATGACTTGAATGTTTGCGTACTGTTCCGGATCAGAACCAAGCGACGGCGATGACGTCATAAAGTCTAGATAGTAGTCGGGCGATTTGGTGAGTGTTTCAATGCCCTTCATTTGACTTGACAGCGGGAAGCCAAAGAGTTGGAACCTGAGGAAGGAAAATTAGCAATGACTCAATCTTGAAGACTGCTCCAATTGGGGCACGGCTTTACATTTTTGTCTGTTCTAGAATAAATGCTTTGGTGGCGTCGGGGAGACGTGGCTCATTCATCGCCAGCTTGGCGAGACGTGAAAGTAACTCGAGGAGGTAGACGTAATTATTTGCGCCCGTTATTGTGTCCCCAACCAGAAGGACCAGTAGCGTGGCCAACGTTGACATGCTGAATAGCTGTCCAGGTCCGAGTTTGAGAGATTGCTGCCGTAGTCGTGAAAGGACCAATTCTTGGCCTCTCTCAGCCGCCATGTACATGGACGGCATTCTTGACGACAGATGAAAAGCTGCAATGACCGAAACTGCCTGCCCAACTAATTCATCTTGGCATGCTATGGGCAGAACTATCTGCCGGTAGCCGTTTTCATTGAAATCGAGGACCACCATTTTCGAAGCGATGAAGCTCGAGACTGCGATGCGATTAGTGATTTGTCTCATCTGGGATAACATGATTTGCCAGAGGGACATGATTACAGTGATCAAAGAGCATCCTTGACCTGGCAGGCACTACTTCTATTGCCCCTCGAGGCGACGGGAGCGATGCAACACGCTGATATTGTTCAGCTTGCCTGGCTCTGACGAGCTCTCGCGCTCTGGTTCGGTGTGGCACTACTACGCTCGTGGCCGAACTGGGTGGTCCGGCGGTCGAAGCATCCGCCTGTCCGGAGGAAGTCGGCGAAGCCCCATCCTTTGTATTTTCCACATTGACAAAAAGATAGCGCTTCGACACTTTCGACGATGCCGGGGGCAGTTGGGCAGAGCCAACACTCGCCGTTTGCTTCTGGTTCATGTGTTTGCTGAATCGACACTCAATGCCTTGGCCCGAACACTTGATGCCTTTCTTTCGACACTTGAAGCACTCGGGCTCCGTCTTGTCGCAGCGAACGCGCCGCATCCGACACTCGTAGCAACCTTTGCATAGGGGTCAGCACGCGATTCGCCACGCTCGTCGCGTCACGGCCATTTTTGCCGAATGACACGTGGATTCCTGACTGGCACGCACCATCGTTTCTCTTGGCTAGCGACATGGTGGAGGCTACCGTGACCTGGGACTTGGGATTATCGCCCGCCTTGCAGCCAACATGGTCACCAATGCACGAGGAGGCAGTGTTGCGGGATTACCAAAAGGCTGGATAAGAGGCGTTTCTGTTGCCGTCGTTGGACTCGGCAGAATGCTCTGAAGCTCAGAAAGGTATCCTAAGGCCTGGATCAGGTGACACAGCCCAAGACGCCGTCTGATGTCGAGAGGTGAATTACGGATTGAAAGGCACTCGCCACGCTCCTGCCAATTTTTTTTTACACCGTACCTCAACAGAGGACTTGGCACTCACGTAGCTACCCTACACCAAGACTCGATCAAGTTCGCTTGAAGCAACATCTTCTTGGAGCGTAACAAGTCGACGCCATTTGAAAACCGTTTCGACGCTTGCGAGTGGATAAAAGGATAGGTTAGCGATGCCTAGGCTGCTGGTACACCGTGATGGACGATCCTACCCATTGTCGCGGAATCGTGCATCTTGGAAGCGTCAATGTCGTACCCGATACGGAATACAATGACGTGCCTGCCGTTGCTTCATCTTCAACATGTCTTCAGACTCTATTCTTGCATCCAAGACGTTGTCTTTGTGTGATTCAAAACCGAAAAGATGCGGAAGAGCTTGACCGAGAATGAGTTGCTATTTCGAGTTGACGAGAATCGAAAACCGAGCACATACTCTGGACGGAGCATGAATCGGGCCCGCCATGACCACGCTTGGTTTTTCCAGGCACCATTCCCATTGCTTTTTCTTGGTTCCCTTTCCGCCCGGCTATCGGATTTCATTTTTTTCTTCTTTTTTAAAGCTTATGGGTCGTGCTCACCGCATTTCAGGGACCTGGTAATTTAAAACTGCACTTTATTGATGCAGGACAGCCCCTCGTGTCGTTTTGCCTCGGTAACAGCTGAAGTCTTGCGCATCGGGAGATGGCCTGCCACAGTTATGAAAAGGGCAAAAAAAAAGAACAAAGGGCCCCAATACCGTAGTTTCCAGCAACTGAATGGCTGCATTAATGCATGAATTAATTCCCGAAGACGCACAATGGGGATAAGATGTGTTGCCGCCCCTGCCCCCGTCATGCTGTTGCCCGAAAGATGCGCATATCAGGGTCTCACATCAGGCTGGTTCACCTTGTTTGTCTGTATACCTTTTTGGTGAACTCATCTCACATGTCTTCGGAAATTAGCACACCTTTGCCGGCGCCAATGTATTACCTCTGGGAACTCATACTCCGTAGCGTGGAAGTGGCGGCCAGCTCTTGCGCTTCATATCGGCCCTTGGGGGACAAGAGCTTTCAGTCAAGCAATTTCCCAGTTGACTAGTTCCGTTCTTTGACGCCTCCGCAGCCGTCCAGGTCCTCCAGATACCCTCCAAGGTTTGTTGCAATTGAGTAACCTGGCTTATGGTCAGGTTTAATTAAACTGGTCTCAGGTAGCTTTCCTATTAGTCTGGAATAGAGATTCCATCTACGAGCGCAGGCGGGTAACTGCTGAAAGCAATAGCCTATAGCATGACTACAACTCATGCCCATCAAGATGGGCTTTGATGTGGCTTAGGAACTGAATGAGGAGTCAAATTTATGCAGCCATGCAGAGCCACAAGTATAAGCTCTTCTTGTCTAAAGCAACCCTTCCCCTGCCGCATACATACGGAATACGACTGTCATCAGTGCGGGGAACATTGTTACAAGGTGACCATTGATGAACCCCAAATCAAATTTTTTTCAAGTCCCGAGTGCTGGTGGCTTGCATTCTCAACAGACAATATGTTTTGTGGGAGCTGGTTCGACCAAATGCACCGTCGGGCTCCTAAAAGGCGTTGATTTGCAAAAACGCCGGGTTCTCAAGGAGTGGGCTGGGCTTTTCCCATGGAAATATTTGATGGGCAAGAATCGCAGCAGACCAATCGGCGCTGTTGAACATGACGCTCGCATGAGACAAGAATCGGTTCTTCCCTGATACAAAATGCAGCTGTTCTTTAAGCTTGTTGCCAAACTGTTCCATTGTCTGATGACTCAGACAAATTTGCTGTAGAAACAGTGTTGAACGCCGCATCGTGACTCTACACAACATGTAGTAGTACAACCGCCATTCTGGGCAGGTTTCTTCATCATCCAGACTGTACGGAGTACCATGGGTGTGCGATGCCATTGAAGCGCTATGGAGTACGGAGTATTATCCCCTAGCATCGGAGTTTTCAGCGATCGACATACGCTACTGTAGGTGCATTGGGCTTCCTCCATGCTTTGGTACGCCTTTTTACTAGCCTTGTATCCGGGTCGGAACGTCGGCCACCAATACAACCCCGATCGGTTGCCACTGTTGAGATATCATACCACCCCCCTGCTCGGTATACTCTCGTTTTTCGCATAAACATCCCGGTATGGGTGATTGTCCCGAGCCAGCATTAATATGACAGTGACAAGACATCAATGGCCGAGGCCGAAAGCCGCGAATCAACTGCCTGAATGCCATGGCTGAGGGATCGCCCGCGCCCGCAACAAGAAATCGATCTGTTTCATTGGATTATGTGTATTTACGAGATCTCGGGGTCTAGGTAAACAAGGCCGCTGATGGCTCTTTTTGATCCCACCTCTGCCCCATCGGCCCGGTTACAATTTGCTGTGGCATGATATTTGGCTGAAGTGAGACATGGCATCTGACATTTTGGGGGAGGCAGACCATTTACGATTTATCAACTCCCGGCGATGACATTGGCCGATTGCAGCGTGGCTGGCCGTTGTCATCCTTTTTAGGCTGGCCGCAGCAACGGCCCTTCAGCCGTGGCCCTTGGACAATGCCTGTCTCAGTTTCTCCTTATGTGTACTTCCCAATAGAGTTGTCGGGTGGCTTGGCATAAGCTCCGTGTAAGCCCCTATGTGACCTGTCCCAATTGACGCAGGGCTGATGCCGGCGCTGAAAAAGGCCAATCGCGAAGCTCGAGTTGATGTTTTGTTTATGCCGTGGAGGAGCAGGGGACCAGGAACACGGCATTTTCTCCGGTAAAACACAAACGCACCAGATTAAGGTTGGCGACAGAGAGCCCGGTGTATAACAAGTTGCCTTGCCGAGCATCTTGTGTATATTTGAGCGTCAATACTTTTCCCCAACAAGGCATGGCCAGTCAAGGGAGCCACGTTGGCACTAAAGCAGACATGAAAAGCCAGAAATGGACCGAATTTCCGACCCACTTGGGCGCCAATGCTACGAGACACATGAGCTGAGTTGTGATGCGGGCGATTCGGCACGTCCCAGCGTGGAGGATCGGCAACTCAGGCGACAGCCTAGGCGAAGGTCGCCGACATGACGGACGAGGGTTCTTGCCTTGTTCCTTGTTGCCAAGAACAGCTGCGATGGAACGATAATCTCAGAAGCCAGGTTTCTGGCATGTCTCACAACCCGAAGGGCCGAAGGGAGATATCGCGGTGCGTCTCCGGTCTTCGTATAGGGTACTGTATTTCCTTTTTTCCCTACCCTCGCTTGTAGTCTCCTGCGTGTAAAATCTTGCGTGTGAAAAGTATCGACTCCATATGCTAAATGAAGGCCTACTACTCCGTGCTTCCAACGAGAAAAAAAAAAATCCAGCCACGGTTAAACCATTCTTGGTTTAGACATGCGCCAAACTATAAATAATTGACCAGGAACAGAAGTAACCGCCATGAGGCATTTGCGGGATGTTGTTACCGGAAAATGTTAGCCCACACAATACATGTGAGTTCCTCCAATAAACGTGCAATGACCACACTTTTGACCAGCTAGAAAGTCACACATGGCGTCTGACCAGACAGGGGGCCAGGGGACCTGGACGAGTTGCCCATGGATGTACAATGTAAACTTGGGGTTAACTCTATCTCGTTTAGAGCCTTTATGCACGTACATACGAATGAAGCTGTGTTGGCACGGCCGTGGCTAAGCCCAAGCGGAGGGTTGCAGGAACAGGGTTCGTTCGGCCACTACATCGCCACGAGCTGTAAGCCTTGTCTTGACTCCCATACGAAAGCAAGTCAATGATGAAAAAGGAAACACTACTGGTGATGCTGTAGTAGATGGAAAAAAAAAAAAGAAAAAAAAAAAAAAAGGAAAAAAAAAAAAAGGAAAAAAAAAAAAAGAAAAAAAAAAAAGGGAAAAAGCCTCAGTCGGAGATTCAGTCTAGGACACTCCATAGGAACCTAGGAGATCTGGACGTACCCTACCGAGGTCGAGAAACGTTTGTAAAGGCGCTTTCCAAGTATAAATAATCCATCCGTCCTCCCCAATCTCTGGAATGTTTCTTGTCATCATCAGCACAAAAACAAGTCAACCACTTCTTCTTCACATCAACATTATCCTCTCTCGCAAACCCTCTACCGCAACCATGAAGTTCCCCGTTGCCTCCGTCCTCGCCCTGGCTACCGTTGCCATTGCTGCCCCAACCAAAGACCACGGACGCAACCAATGCAACTATGTTACTTGTGTCGACAGCGCCTTGCTTGTCGTCGACGCGGACATCGACCTCCTTGGACTCCTTGACATTGGTCTCCACGTTGGGCTTTTGGAGAATAAGCAATGCAAGGCGTTCTACTGCTGCCCCGAGCGTTGCAACGAGGTATGTTTCTCGCTGTTGTATAAACGACTTTTACGCTGGGATAATACTAAATTCGCTCTTGTAGGGCGAGCACATTCCCGACACCTGCTGGAAGCGCCAGCACTAAATCACACCAGCCTACAACATCTGTTCATACGCCACTAGCTTCCAGTTTCATTCGCCAAGCAAATAATACGAACATATGAAGTTTCTCGCGATGGATACGATTTGAACCCTTGAGAGCCGCTAATGTATTTAAAACTTGAAAAGGTTGGGGGGTTGTAATGTCTATATAGTGACGGAGGTGGAACAGGATACTTTTGTGATATTCCTTCCGAGTTACATATGCTGATTATACAAAAAAAAAAAAACAAATTTTCCGACGGAGATGTGCTGTCCAATGTTGTGCTTCGGTAATCAATTTGCTTGAATGGAGCACACTATTGTGAAAGTGATGGTCCGAATAGAATCCCTTTGTCTGGGCACTTCGAGTCGGTAATCGGCGCGGATGTGTACAAATATCATTACTAAACATCCCATATTATCGAGTATCAGCAAATCAATTACGGGGGACAGGGGGCAAATAGGGGTCTCTAGCACACTCGAAGTCAAATGAAGTAAATGTGTGAAACTTGTCTCCATCTCACATTTTGCCGCAGAGCTCACTTGCCGAAACATCTATATCCGTTCCACTGACCAACCGTAGTACTTACCTGTTAGAATTATGCATGGTTTACTATCGGACGTGAAGGACAACTCTATCTTGTTGAGGTCACTACTGCGTAAGTGGCTGCCGTGGGACCGGAAACCTCGTCTCCACAGATACCCTGTGCATGCTGGTCCTACTTCTTGTCAAACGTGTATTCCCGGAGACGAACTCTATAAGAGACAATGTGCAGTGAGTCAAGGTTATTTGTTCAAATTGCGGAGAGCAGATCCTTCTAGTATTGTGGACGGGGGCGGGGCCGCTGTCAATGAATCTGATGCCACGATGCAGGAGAGGCATGATATTAAAGTGTTTTTGCCGAACGGATCTGGTCTTTCATAATAACTGGTTATAGGCTCAAAGAAGAAAAGGTAGGAATTGGCTGCCGACTCAACATCCACGCCAAAAACACCTCAACTTACGCAGAAATGCAACACTGGAGGAGGGTTCATTCAATATCATTCGTGTCTGTTTCTGCGACTGCTACATTTTCAGCTGGTGAGCCATGCCTTTCGCGTACTCGGCGGATGCACACCCAAGTACCACGTTAGCACCGGCGGCGAATACGGAAACACTGCCTGTTTTTGCAACGCTGGAGTCTGAAGAAGCATGGTCGGTAGTTTGCAGGACGCTATAGGAACTATGTAATTATTCTTATAGTTGACATATCTTTTGATGTAAAGCTATTACTCGGCCTCAGAACCACAGTCCTTCACCTGTTTATAAACCTCGACTGCAGACTCATAACCTCCATAGATGACGAGGAGAGGCGTTGGTTCGCACGCCTGGCGAACCGTTGAAACCTCTCGTCGCAGAAAGAGCTCTGTGTAACGTAACGTACATCTTTTAACTCAATATTACGCGTTGCTACCTAAAGCTAATCTTTTTAGTTTTCTTCCAGACGTGCAGTTTCTCTCCCTTGCCAGGGGTCCTCCCGTATCGACTACGCTGCCGCTTAGCCTCCTCCCACTTGATACTCACATGCTTCCCCGTCAGCATATCGCTGCTTGGCTTGCTAATATCCGTATTGGCGCCGCTCGCCTCCAAGGGGTTCGTGATATGCTGCGTGGCCGCTTCCGACGCAGCAGCGAGGAGCTCCTCCTCGGGCCGCGTCTTGTTGCGACAATACGGCGCGTCTTCTAGCGCTGCAACATCATCGTCATGGGCTGACTTTGTGTTCTCATCGGAGCGAGGTGAGAGGGTTTGCCGGGGATGTGGAACTCTGTCAGCCAGCGACAGTCGAGGCGTGCTGTGATATGCGTGGCAGAGGGCAGCGGGCCGCGTGATTGTAAAACGCCTTGCGGCGCTGAGTTTTAACGACATTGTATGAGACTTGGCTTGATTTAATATGTTTTATTAAAGTTCTTGATTGTGCGGTCGTGGTTAAAGAGCTGTTTGTTATGTGGTCTGAAGACGACGTAAGTGGGGGATGGATGAAGTCATCATGACGATGCATTGCGAGCAGCCCCCGGAAGGGTTTTTAGGGTATCAAGGGTAATAGAATTCCCGATGGACCTATGAGAAGGCAAGTTAAGATGGATTCAACCGGGTGCCGATTAAAGTAAATTGTTGTTGCGAGGAGTTGGTTAACAGTAGAGCGGTATATCGGCTTGCCGACATGTTTTAAAATCGCTAGATGCTGAACTAAGCCAACGAAATAAGGCTTCTGGAAGGATTGAGAAACGATGCCCGGCTATTCCTAAGTAAATACAGAATGACGTAGCGGAATCAAGTGTTTGTGCTTGGATAAAGGAGTCAACACTGTCCTAATCACGGTATTTCACAATGATCAATTTGACAGAAGATATGTGAACAACGCGAAGAACTGTAATCATGCTTGACTCTCATTATCTTGTTACATAATCCCCTTCCATCCAAAGGGTTCCCAGTCCGCCACATTTAAAGTGTGGTTCAACTTTCAAGTTTTTGGCTTCCTGTTTGGGAGTCTCGGCCAATCAGAGTGCGCGGACACACCAGATGACGTATTACGCGCCACAAATGGCCAAGGCGTGGTATCGAGGGATATGATATCATTTTGCAATGATCTTAAAAAGCATTCGAGCCGACACACACTCGTCTGTTCAAGTCACCATAGCCTCTACATGCAACACATAGGTCAACCTCGACGACATCCAGCAATATGGAGTGGGCATCGGCACAATACAAGAAACAGAAAGACATCTGGATCCCCTGGATAGAAGACATGTATCTCAAGTACTTTACAAGTGATAACAAGGCAAGCTACACTACGAAAGGTGCGTTTACACATGCCAACGTAATAAACTACTCTCCAAGATTGAAGACTAATACTTCTCTAAATAGATAACCTCGACAAGACCAAGGTAACTGGCAACGAGCAGGTCGACAAGCTGCAAGATGACGCTCATGGACTTGTTGCGGGTCAGCTTGGTCAGGGCGGCCTCGCCCAGCCCGTAGGCGATCTTGTGTCGAAACAGGGAATAAACCGAGCCGAGCGACAGGGTCTTGATGAGGAGGGCAAATATTTACCGAAGCCTGGGGATGCTCTGTCTGGGAAATGATGTATCAACGTGGAGATTCGATGGCGTATATGATTGATGTAATGGATATTGGATCATATTGAGATGTACACGGGCTAAAACCTGGATGCTGGGACAAGAAATATGGCTTGAGTATTCTTATATTGATAGTAATTGTATTGAACGCAGCCAGTGCCGCGTCCCGACTCTGTAAACGCGTACATGCACAACCCCAGAAAGCTCACGCACTTTTTGTGACTGAAGAATAATGTAACCTATCTCGAGTTTAAGCGTATGTTCTCGAACCCGAGAAAGATGATGATAAAATCCACGCCGATGCGGGAGAAATTCCAAGGTGGTTGGGTACTCCCTATCACAGTTACATCTGCGGACATCCCCCCGTGCAGACTATTGAGGGCAGCCGATGCAGGCTTACAAGTCCAGAGATATTTTCTACCTTCTAAATTAAGGATTATGTGATGCCCGCACCACCATTACTGACGCTACCACATATCGCTACCCCAACTCCCGACCCAGGCGTGCCAACCTGCCACACACTGTCTGACCGGGACCGCTCCCCAGGCGTGCTCATTCTACGAAGCCACGCATAGACTATTATCAAGCGCAACTAGGAGAGCTCGACATCTCCGGGGAGACGGCATTTGCCGCAATTATTCGTCAACTGTAGTCTGTACGGGTGGCGTCTGGCTTGGAGAAGCCAATCGAGAACCATCGCACAGGCAGCAAACAAGTATTAGGGATAGGCTAAGAGTTGTGAGGAAAATGCAGATTGTATGATTGCAGGGTGATCAAATACAGCAAACACGATCTATTTATGAGCAATGTCTTGTCACGTTATTTATCACTCCCTATACTGTGAGGGCTCACGGAAGGGAGCTATAGCGAGGTTACAAGAGCTCGTAATGCAACTGACAAGTTGTATTACAAGAGAGCTAAAAGAAGTGAAGAAGTTAATTATATAGAAGAAGAAGAAGAAGAGCTAGCTAAAGGGTGGTAGTATAGCAATAATAACCTAGTGCCTTACACGTGACTATATAGGCCCTAATATCCCCCTATTTAAAAAAAGATAATAGCTTTATTCGCTATTTTTGCTATCTTAAGTAATAGTAATACTAGCCTAAGCATTACTATTCTTGCTATCTTAAGTAGTAGTAGTACTAGTTTAAGTATTATTATTCTCGCTATTTTAAGTAGTAATAGTATTAGCCTAAGCATTATTATTAATAGCGGGTATATTATTAGTAGTATTATTTCACGTAGTACTATTATAAACTATTATAGCGTTATTATTAGTAGTTATATCTTAAGCGTTATTATTATAAAATTAAAGCTAATTCCCTCTTTTAATCTTTTATTTTATTTACTTATTAGCTAATAAACTTAGTACTATTATTACTAATATTAGCCTAAGTATCGCTATTTTTGCTATCTTAAGTAATAGTAATACTAGCCTAAGCATTACTATTCTTGCTATCTTAAGTAGTAGTAGTACTAGTTTAAGTATTATTATTCTCGCTATTTTAAGTAGTAATAGCACTAGCCTAAGCATTATTATTCTCGTTATCTTAAGTGGTAATAGTATTAGCCTAAGTATTACTATTAGTAGTAGGTATATTATTAGTAGTATTATTTCACGTAATACTATTATAAACTATTATAGCGTTATTATTAATAGTTATATCTTAAGCGTTATTA